GGTATGTGCCTATATATCTGGTTCTTTTCTGTCCCGTGCCGAATTAATTGTAATATGTTCTTGGAGTATATTCTTGTATTCGGGGTTTTTTTATATAATCCTGATTGTTTTGTTTCGTTCTTAGGCTTCAGCATTTCTGAGCCTGCGTGAAGCTATTTCATTTTTTTGTGACGTATCACCGGCTCTGTCTTGCGACTTATATTTTCTGATGACTATAACAAACAAGACTGGTCTCTTTTGTTTACTGTGGCTAACAAAGCAAACAATCATTTTAAAGCTGAATGTTATTATTAATATTTAACACAAAATAACTGCTCAATTTCACCTTTAATATTATTTTCACCAAGCTGTTCCTTTTAACCAATTAACTTAACAATTCGTACTTTTTATTTAATCTTTAGAATTTACATTAAGCACTTCCTTCAGGTTGCTATATATACATATTAATAAACATTCATTCATATTCCGTAAGCTAAGCGCGTAGCTACCGATTAAGCTTCCTTATCTTAGTTTTATTTTTATATTATTTACAAATGAAAGATTTTGATAGTTGTTCTCTTATTTTGCACAGACAAGTGTTTACATTTTGGATAAAAGCCATGTTTGCAATTTATGAATCATCCAGTGAGCATCACTAATAAAATTATTAGTCATAATGGTTAATTCCACATATAGGAAAGATATGTTTCTTTTATCACTTAAACAGTTTTGTGTGTATAAATAAGCCTGTCATTATATTCTTTGGTAATCGGGTTTTGATATCGGTATACAGAAATATGAGAGTTTGTGATCTGTGAGGTATATCGGGAAGATCGGATTATCGGGGTCAGAAAAGCCGTTATCAAGCATCCCTAATTATCAATGATAAAATGCCTGTAAACCATTGAGAGGTGTAAATGTAAATGTTTCAAGTGCTTCAGTTATTGTAAAGGGGTTTGGGATAATGACTTGCCTTTTTCATGATTCAAAGCACATTGCTTATGCAATATAAGTACTAATATTGTAATAATCTGGGGAGAGCTCACAGACTGGGATTATAAATTACAGGAAGATATTTATAACATTTTAAATTACACTATTTTAAAATAAAATGAGGAACATCTGTCCATCAGTATAATCATTACTGTATATAACGTGATTCACCAGTCGGAAGATCACTTTCTCATCTGTTTTGCTTGTATCCTGTTTGTCTAAAATGGTTCAAAAAACCCACCAGGTCAGCTTTTCTGTAATCTTTGAATGTTCTGACCAGACAATGTTAAATTTTTTGGGGACTTTTCATTTGCTTACTTAGAGAAAATTAGGAGCCACCTTGAGATATCTGTAGTAATTCACGTTCATCTCCCATTTATTAATCTGAAATATTTTTTAGACTGCATTTCCTGTAAAGGTGCAATTAACCACATAACAACCTAATGACAGAACCTAATTCGTACTGAAATTAATTATCTTAAAGGAAACTGTTTCTTATTACAATCAAATTCATTAGTATGAGTGCACTCTTCTGGAACAAATGTGATAATGTGATCAGCTGCTGGTGCAGAATAATTAACCTGTACAGTTATGTGTAATAATAATAATATTACATATATTATATTAATGTTACAAGATGCACACGTAACACCTTTCATATTAAATCACCCCTTCTGTTATCAAATGTCACCATCTGAGTTCCAGTAAAAGCTCCACATTCTGTTATCTGTTCCATTACTGTACCAGACCAAAATAATTTTGTGATGTGTAGTGCTTTGAAAAAGTCTTGGGCCACTCTAGACATGTCTAAAGCCAATAAATTATGAACAAAGTACTTTTGCACAGCACTGTATAACCAATCCCACTCCTCAGAAGGAGTTGCAGCTGGAACTGTGCACCAGCTGGAGCTAGTGCCACCTTGTGTCTGTAGTTATGCTTTTCTACTACACCAGTGGTTCTCAAACCTTTTGGTGTCAAGCACCCCAAAACTGATACACACCTATGTACATACCCATACATACCCAGATTGAGGGTACCTCCGTGTTACACTAATAACACTCCAATATACTAGATGTGTTTTCTGGGTCTAACAACTGAACACACACATGGATGTATACAGATGTAAGTTACTTTTTCATCCCTCTTTCCTGCAGGGTAAAAGGCTCAGGGTAAGTCAGTCCCATTTCCTATATTCCATACAGCCATGTAGACTCTTGTTGATGTAAATGCTTAGGTAATGCACTATAACAATGAACATGAACATCCCTTACAATATACTTTTCACTGCCTTATAACCATCATCCTCAAATCCCTTAGACATGATAACATTGGTAAGGTATACACAGAAATGTGCCGCCAAGTGTATAAATAGAAATTCAACAAATATAAAAATAGCACTGTAAGACTGGACGACATGGACAAGATCTTCTTTCACTTTATATGACATTTTACATTGCAATGTAATGTGTCATATGTAATGTAGTATTGTACATTTTCAAGAAGTTCAGTATAATAACCCTCCAGGAATGTGCAGTTTTGGCTTATTTAGCAGTTGTCTATGCTCTGTCAGATTGTGGAATGGCTCCTCTGAACACAAAGATAGTGGGAGGTGAGAATGCCACAGCTGGGTCATGGCCCTGGCAGGTCAGCATGCACATCACTGCTACAGAGATGCACGTTTGTGGAGGGACCCTCATCAGTGACCAGTGGGTACTCACAGCAGCCCACTGCATAATGTAAGAGAAACTCATAAGAGCTTGTTTCATATCCTGTACTTACATTTTTCTCTTGCAAAAAAATAGAAGCCTTCACAAATTCAATTCAGATCTTATTATGTAAAAAGCTTATGTAAAAGTAGCAATACCACAATGTAAAACACTCTGGTACAAGAGTAAATGTCCAGTGCATTTGAAATCTTACATAAGTAAAAGCACACAAGTATTCAAAATATACTTTAAGTATTAAAAGTACAAGTACTCAATATGCAGAACGGCCCATTTCAGTATAATGTTTATTATATCACTGGATTATAACTAGCAATGTATTAATGTAAGCATCACTAAAATGGCAGCTGGTAAACGTTGGGCTAATTAGAATTTGACTACTGCTTAATCAATAATAATAATAATGAAATAAGTTACTAATCAATATAGTGGGATAAAAAGTATATATAAGTATATATGTAAATATTTGCTCCCCAAAATAATAATAGTAATGGAGTATAGTACCATAAATGAAATTAAAAAAAAATAGATAAAATAAATACTCAAGAGATAGATAGACACACACACACACACACAGGCTGAAATGCACACTTCATGCACTTGTGGACATGCAAACAGGGAGAGAGATGGTGGAATGATGGGCTGCCTCGTTAGCTGCGCCCATGAGCAGTTTTTCTTGGGTTCTTAGGTTGCCTTGCTCAAGGGCACCTCGGCAGTGCACAGGAGGTAAAACTGGCACCTCTCCAGCTACCAGTCCACACTCCATACTATCTACTAATACCTTCTTCTTCTTCTTCTTCTTTTTATATATAAATCTGGGCTGAACAGTTTAACTGTACTTGAGTTAGCTCCATTTCGACCAGCTACAAAAGTCTCATACTACATACATTGATGCATTAGTAACAATCAAATGATGTAATAATAATATCAGTTCAGTTCAATCTTTCTACATTATTTTACCTTCAAGGGGCAACTTATTTTTACTTTTTAAATTGTTCTATTGGTACTTTTACTTAAGTAAAGCATTTCAATACTTCCTCTCAGTATAGGCACCTGCTGCTGGGAAATCAAACTGGGTCCCTCTATACCTTCCTGCTACCATTTGAATTCTCCTTCACAGGTTGGAGGTGTTTTAATAGGATATGACCTGTTCATGTGCCATAATTATTTAGAAATGTCATTTCAATTTAGACATTTACACTAATGTATTCCCCCAAAGTTTTACACATCTCTCTTCTGCTCTCGCTGAGTTTCTGTAATAATATTCATATGCCCCACTGGACCTTTTTTGAATCTAAAGTAATGGCATTTCTGAGAGAGAGAGAGAGATAGAGAGAGAGAGAGAGAGAGAAAGAGAGAGAAAAGTAGATGATGTGCAGTCAGTAATGAGACAGACTACAGTTCATATTATTGCAAATGATTGCTACGCCCCTTAACCTGATTTTACATGCAGCTCTTGCCCTCTGGAGCTTTTCTGTCAGCTGAGAGTGGAACTTTTCTGCTTTCACAAATGGTTTATGTGAAATGTATTCAGTTGTTGGAATAGTTTAAGACTCACAGTCAGATACATGAAAAATGTAGCTGGAGAGAGGAATGTTCAACAGTAAAAAGCCCCTGTTATGAATCAAAAGTAAAAAAGATTAATTTTAGCTTTTATTTTAATATAACTGCTTGAGTTATTAGAGATTCATGTATCTTTTATAATATATATGTATTGCCTTATTATTAACTTTATTTTAACTTAATTTTATTATATTTAGTATCTGTTCCTCTTTCACTTTCCCTTATGAGTTTGGGTTATAGAAGTCGAGTGCCTCTCCTTGTTCTCCTGTCCCACCATGTGTTCAGATGAGGAAGGGTAGCCAACATAATTACTATTGCTAGTAGCATTACTATTAACTTGTACTATAGGGCAGTTTCCAACATGCAGGTCAGGACCTTAACTATAGGGGTCACACGATTATTAAAGAAGAACAAAACAATGATCTGTTACACAAAATTATGTTATTTTTCCTGACTTTTATTTATTTTTTGCCTTTTACTGGTGAAATATTGAATAATTTAATCTCCTCAGTCCTGTAAAAATGTATCAAACTAGTCAATATGAGAAATAATGTTGCTGATAATACTTTTACTGAGTAAGGTTTTGAATGCAGGACTGTTACTTGTAGTGACATTGTTGCTATTGATACTTTTACTCAAAGGACCAGTGTGTATGATTTAATGGCATCTAGTGGTGAAGTTGCAGATTGCAACTCACTGAACACCACTTGCGTCTGTATATGAAGACCTGGGAATGAGAACGGGCTGTGAGGTGTGTAGGAGACGACAATGGCTGCAAACTATATCTACAGCCAATGTTTGGTTTATTCTTTCCAAAGATATTATAGTTAACTAAAACTAAACTATAAATGTAATTAATGTAAAATTAGACTTTAGGAAAAAAAGACTAGCTGAAACTATATTACTATATAAAAATGTACAAGAAACTTCTTTAGGTTAAGTCTTTGTCAATTTGGTCCAATTAGTCTGCACAACATGCATGAGGAGGTATTGATGCATTTATTTGTTTATTGAGACCGGGATGTCTACATGAACCAGTGTCTGTGTACCTATTCTGAACTTCTTAAATCTTGCCCCTGACAAATTACCCCCCCCCCCCAATATTATAAAAACAACCCCAAAACACTAAAACTAATAAAAACAAAACAAAACTGAAACAAGTTAGCACACTCGGGGAACAACATAAAAACTAATAAAAAATACAAAACTACAATAACTCTGGTACGTTCTGGGCTACTGTAGGAACGCGGCGGTTCAACATGGAAAGTGAGCCACGGCATCAACAACGTCTCATTCTAAGGTAACAGAAACACAACAATTCCAACATTCAAGTTGTTATACACTAAGAAAAACATACTT